AATACTGCTGAAAGCGATCAGATTGTTAAAACAATAAAAATTCCATATATCTCAGGAGTAACTGACAAATTAGCCCGTGTTTTGCAAAAGCAAAACATTACAGTAAGATTTGGTACAGTACACAAAATTCAAAAACTAGTATCTTGCACTAAAGACGCATTACCTAAATTATCAACAGAAGGTGTATATCGGATTAATTGTTTATGTGGCAGATGCTATATTGGACAGACGGGACGTAACATCAGCATAAGACTAAAAGAACATCAAAGAAATATTAAATTATCTCAAACACAACTGTCGGCAGTGGCAAAACATGCTTGTCAACAAGGACACTCAATTGATTTTGATAACGTTGAAGTGTTGTGTAAAACTAATTATTACTGGCAAAGACTAATTAGAGAATCCATTAAAATTGAGAGGAATAGAAATAACTTTAATCGCTCTGACAGCTACAGGCTTAGTGCGGCTTGGAAGCGTATTATTACATAATACATATTACAATTCCTTATAGGGGAAACACATACTAATTAACGGATTACTAACGTAGCATATAATCACAATAACACACATTACAACTAATTACTAATCTACAACTCATTACTAATCATAACCATTGACTGATTACCAATCAATTATATAATTACAATACCCCCCCTCCGCCTCAAATCACTGCACCTGAAATGAGTTAAATGATGACGTCACCCTGCTGCTCTATTTAAGACCGGGAGCAAGTGAGGGCTTTACCATTCTGGCGAATTGCCCAATGATGCTGGATGTAATTACCAGCGAAACGTCGTACTCAAACTGTAAATGTTGTGGATTCACTCTTCAACACACTGGTGGGCTAAAGTAGTGAATTATTTGTCTTTTGTCAACGTGACACTTTTTTGCTGATTGGCCGTGTCGGGTGGTGGAGGGTTACGACACATTTATAAATAACGCGATCAAACCCCAAAAACATTTATTATGAATAATATTGGTCACGAAAGCGTACATGTTAAACTGAGGGGTGCGGCATGTGGAGTGACGTCACTGGCTCATGATTATTAATGAGGGAAGGAGTGCGGCATGTGAAGTGCGCGACCTTGTGCGTTCGTGCAAATTTCCACGTGGGTATGAATATTAATGAAGGGGGGGGGGCTCTTTTGCAGTGACGTCACGCACGGATGTAGTACTGTGCTGCGTAGATTTATTTTCTACCGTCACTTTCTGTAAAGAAACGTCATATTTGAAGCGACTTTGCGTAATAATTTTTTTTTATTCAGCTTCACCTTCCTCTGCGTTAGTGTAAAAAATCCACCCACTCATGAATATTAATGAGGGGGGGAGGTGCCTCATGTGGCGTGACGTCAGGCGGGGGGTGGGCCTCACGTGGAGTGACGTCACGTGCGGGATGGACAGACATTTCTGGGCGATTATCGTCGGTAATAATCACGCGCGAGGTTTAGGACCTCCAACACGGAAACACATTCCTGCGGAGGGGGCTGGTAGGAAATTTTGAAGTCATTATGAAGTAATTATGTATGGATATTTAAGCCAAACTTGTTAGGGTCGTGCGCAGAAGAAAGCAAAATAAAAAGTGAGCAGAATTATAAAACGACGCCAGAAAGTGCAGTGTATAATCCCCTACCTCCTGTGAATTAATCCCGGTTGGGCTTCCAGTCCATATAAGGGCACAATGGGGTGACCAGCCCCTCCCCACCCAGCTCCACCCCCCCCCCCACCTAGCCCCACCCAGCCCCTCCCCAGCCCACCCAGCCCCTCCCTACCCTCCCCTCTCCACCCAGCCCCACCCCTCCGACGTGGACAGACATCCACAGACATACACAATTAATCCCCTGCCTCCTGTGAATTAATCCCGGTTGGGCTTCCAGTCCACTACGTTTCCTACCAGTATAATCGACAACAACACTTTACCGCCACCGAGTGCACAAGAAGAGCTGCTGTTGTCGTCAACACAGCGACAAAACAAGGGGATGATGATGATGATGATGATTTTTTTTATTTTGCATGGACACTCGGGCGAGTACTTGCCGAATTCGACAAGACCAAACTCATCGAAACTTGTCGGGGCGACACACAAGCCCCTTGAACGTTCTTGTTGTGGTTTTCACACCTGATGATGATTGCTTGTGTTGCAGTCAAAACGTCGTGAGAATTGTATTGTTTTATATTTTTATTATTTTATTGTTTCCCTTCCACGTGACTTTCCTGAAAGAACCAAGAATAACAATGAGCTGGTGACGTTACTCCACATGGGGCAACCACCCCCTAATTAATAATCATGAGCTGAACAATTTTTCTATTGAATATTTACGATTTACTGCAATATACACCCGTCATTGGACGGGCAAAGAAAGCTGGTGAGGATGTAATCTCGGAAGCGCACCAACAAAACGGGAGGCTCGCGTAACGTATCGCCTTGCCAGCTGCTTAAAGAGCTGCAACACTGCGACTTTTGACAAGGAGGCCCCGACCAAGACAACCACTTGATTTTGTTTTAGATGGCAATCTTTGTTTACACTGGACTGATTACGACCCGAGCTCGTTGAAAAAAAAGTAGTGTCGTCTTATCTTTAAGTCCGCCATGGTGTCAAAAAAAAGTAACTTGGGGCATTAACTAAAGCAATCCTTCTGTAGTAGTAGTTTATGTATTCGTCATCAACAACCATGATCAATCCACTGCTGTGTGAAGGCCTCCACACAATGGTCAATGCGCACGATCCTGCGAAGTACAAATGCACTTGGCACATCCACGAGTTGATTTCATCCCCCCCCCCCCCAAACCCCTGCCGCCGGATATCCTTTCTTTGAATTGATCGTACAGGAATTTCACAAGAGGAGGACCTCCCAACACCCCCCCCCCCCCACTCTGACACGAGTGGAGACTACGCGTGTGTCACGCTCCCAAAGATAGGGTAATTGATGGCAAGGACACATCCGGGACTCGCACTCGGTCCTTGAGGAGCGCGCAAGGATGTGGTAGGATCGTGCGTTCCAAGACCTTCTTCCGAGAGAACGTCATCTCCCCGAGGAGGCGTTAGGGAAATAGAAGCGCCGAGGTCGGGTTCGAGGCACCGCCGCGTGACCTGGTTCACCTTCCCGGTGAGGTTTATCCTTCTGCCTTAAGAATCGGTGGTTCTGTCAAAACAGGAATTATCATTTTTTTTCTTCCTGTATTGTTTCTGGGTGGAGTAGCCAGGGGTTTTCGGGGGGGGGAGGGGAGGGTTGACTGCGAGAGAACAGCGCGTTTCTTTTTACAATGTTATGCTAAGAATATAACGGTGTGTGAATATGAAAACAAATAATGTTACGCGCATATTTCAGTTCGCTTTTTTTGGCCACGTTGCCGGGACACAATGGACGGTTTGAGAATCGTCGTGGGACGCTTAATTTTTTTTATGGCTCAAATCGCCGGGGGGATGTTGAGACGGACACTCGAGTTGATGAACCCTGATAAAGCAAGGCCAGGAAAAGTGTGGAGCACGCCAACACCGCGTTTGATGGGGCCGTGCTGAACACAAAATCCACGATCTTTGTGGTTCTTGCGGTAAAGTCACGTAGGTATAAAATAAAATAAATCACCGCTTCAATTTATTATTTATTTTATTATAAATGTAATTAAGAACCAAAGAGTATGGATCCCTGCAGTCACGAAAACTTCAAATCTAGATTGACAAAATCCACGGTCACATTCGCCTGTTTAAATCGTTTCAATTCAATACAACCCAATATGCACGTGAATTCTCCTTTGGCCAGGCGAACCAAGCGCGATGCCTGCAAATCAAATCACCTTCGATGCACCCAATTTTGTCCGATTTCCAAAGCTAAGGGTTGAGCGTCCATAGCACCTCCGATTAGCACGGTTGGCGACTTACGCACGGTTCAACATAGTGTACATACGCAATAAACTACGGAGGTAATGTCCTCCTCAGCAGATGGCAGAGCAGCAACACCCACCACAGCTGCAACGTGTGTGGTATGACCGACTGGTTTAATGGTCCTCACCTTCAGAACCCGCACCGACCAGCGTGGTGAATTATGGTAAAAAAAAAACCTCCCACACGCAACCCGCACAGAATGGCAGAGCCCTCGGCCAGCAGTGGCAAGATGTTAACTGCCTCGCCTCGTGTACAGGAGGTCGTGGGTTGGATCCCAACGCTGCTGATGCCTGTGTATTTGGAGTTTGCATGTTCACGTGGCTTTTTATGCGGATCCTCCGCTTTTTTTATTACTACACGCTTTTATTTAACTCAGTCTGTTGTATCCTCAAATCTTGTAACTCAATTTTAACCCACTTCCCAATGTCGTATCGACTGCAAACTTGGTAAACGTATGTCATACTGATGACAATACTATATTCTATGATTAAAATATATTTTTTTAACAATCTTTTTTTTATTATGTTTCGGCTTGGGTCTAATTGTCCACGCTCAACTAACGTTGGCTGTAAATCACCACACAGTCCCCTTACGTTATGGCAAGCTTCGGGGCCTCTTCCTCGAGTCGTGGAGTTCTGCCATTACTCCTACGGTACATTTCATTAAAGCGTGTTTTTAAAAAAAGCATTTTTAAATATTACTTATTCCCTCCACATTTATAATCAACGTTTCAGTTGATTTATTTTGGTATAGCCCTGTGAGCCATTCGGCTCTTGAATCGGGTGCAACCACAACAAACAAAAACATGAACAACGTGCGTTTAGAGCACTTGACCGAGATCAATTTCCACACAATGAGCCCACACCGTTGAGCTGTCATTTGTGGCCAGGTCGCTCCTGAAAAAGAGCTATCTATACCAGCTCAGTGGGCCTTACCTGTTAAAATAAAAAGTTTAGTTTAGGATTGATAAAGAGGGCTATGAATGTATATTTATCGGCCGAGCGTTAACCGCGTGAAGTGGCCGCGGTGTGTATCAATCATTTTCAGGTAACACGCAAAGGTCGTCTCGTTCGCAACCTCCTTCTCATGAACGCTGAACACAAGGGAGGGGGGCAGCAGTCAGCAATACATGCATCTCTTTTATTGAAGCATGTTTCCAATAAATCTTCGCTAACACATCCAAGGTCTCCGTTTTAAATCAAATGTACAGTACACACAGTATGTATGCATTACATTGCTCGTCACAGCTATCAAAAACCTCCGCGTTGTGCACGCACAAATTGTACAACTACATACAGCCCAGAGAACCGAAGAGAAAGGAGGAAATGGTGCGCCTTAAAGGGATGGTTGGTGTACGCGTGTGTGGTTAACGGGAGAAACCAAACGTGAAGCCTACAAAACGAGTGAGCACAGCAGTTGGATTAAATCGTACGTGCTTGCCATTTGTACGGTGTTTTAATAGGAAAGAGGGTGGATTCGTTTCCCATGCGTTACACAAGAGAGGTTGCGTGACTTTGTAAAGTGTGCAGGAATTACATGTACGTTCGGAGAACAGCGATGCATGGCTGCAGACGTGGCCAAAGCGTTAACTGGGCACTGCGATGTAGGGACTTAGTTAACGTGGATGAAAAATCTGGACTTAAAGCTTTCGTCACTGCAGGAATTCATATTCTTTGGGTCTTTCGGTAAAAATAATAAAATTATTATCATATAATAAAATTATTTTTATTTTTAATATAATAATACAATTATTATTAGTTTTCTATCTACGTGGCTTTACCAAAATACCCAAAGAATGTGGATGCTAAAGTACGCACCCAAAACACATTTTTAAATGTTCTAATTTTGTTTCAAGTAAACTCAAACGTACAGGTTATATCAACCGTCCGTAGCATGCGCCAGTGTATGGTATCACCAAGAAATAAAAACTAAATCAGATCAACATTGAAAACTTTACGAACCTGAAATGATAAAACATCACACTGTATTCTTTCAAAATACAAAACGCGAACATGATACAAATGTAAAAAATATATATATAATGCTCAAATAAGTGTATTATTAATTTAAGTTTAAGAAGCACAGTGAAAACAAATCACATGATGTAAACTATCTTAGCAAAAAAGCTTCTCACTTCCCAACTCCCAACCCCCCCCCCCAATAAAATATTACTGCAGAAGGCATCTCAAATGACAAGTGCCTGCGGCCAGAACCAGAACAGTTGAAGAGATGAGCGAGAGATGGACAGGAGGAGCAACATGTCGCCACATTGCCGGAATCATACGACTCGAAACTTGGCTCCAGGAAAGCGCAACATGAGGTTTCATACCGACAAATGGGGCTCGGAAAGTAATGTGATCGCAGTCATGTGACCACCAGTTGTGGTAACACGTTCCCCCATTGTTTTAGTAATCTCGGCAAGGGTGGAAAGTTTTTGTTAGCTTGTTATTTAGTCACAATGGTCAAATGATGAACAATTCTAAATGAGGTCATTTACCGAAGTTTTGCCTGCAGTGAGACCCAGTGCTGTGAGATATACAAACGTGTTGTTGAACCGAAAATGGTTGTTGTGGGCCAAAATTGTCCTTCTTGCTTGACAGAAGAAATCCCTGACTGTGGCAGTAGCGGATTCATGTGCAACGGTTATCTAATTGTATGATCTTCCCCATTCACACTTAACCTGCAGTAGTAATGCCTCACCATTGGTTAAATTTAAATTATTAAATAAACGGTCTTATATCAAACTACAGATATGTAAAACGATCAACAACATTTAATGACCGAAGTCTGGTCTCATTTGAATGAAAACCAAAACTTTAAAACAACAATAAAGCACCAACTATTTTAGTAAGAGCCCACGATTGACTTGATCAACATCCAAACATATTTCCTTCGTCAAAATTGCCAATTATTTGCCTTGCTTATATTTTCCACCTCGGTAGGGTGATACCCGTGTAGATTTGCAACGCACTACCGAGCTGCTTGTGTCAAATATTCCTTGACGTCAGGTCTACACTGCGGTCGTATCACAAGGGCCGTTCCATCCAAAGATTTGCATGACAAATTGGGCTCAACAATGAGCACAAAGGAACGCGAGCACAAAGATGTCCCCAACTACACTTGAAGCGAAATCCATGATCCATAACTTATGAGATTTTTTTTTTTGGTAAAATATCGATGACATCCTTTTCTGGTCATGAGCTGATCGTAATTTACAAGACATTAAATATTTTTAAAAGGGAGCAATAACTTAAATACATATAGACTGCAAATAAAAATACTTAAAAGGCATTTATGAACAAAACAATCATCGTGAAATGCTCGCAAGCAAAACCTGGATTCTCGAACGTTCCATACCAAATAATTTCAATATACATTACATGGTAAACCAAGGAATGGACATATAAATTAATTGTGCAGATATAACTACGTATATGAAATGTTTATCGTATAGTTACAGTAAACTATTTGCATTGTACACGAAGTGGCTATATTTACTTTTTTTTTTAAATCGGCCCTATTCAATGATGTTAGCTCATAAAATATGACCCATCGAATAGACTATGCCCTCCCATCCGCATCGTCTATATATCGGCAATCTGGCACAGGCCTGCTTAGCTATACACAGTGACCTTAAAAACACACACAGACTGCAAAAAAATATAAAATAAACGTTCTGAAAAATAAAAAAAGCTAAATAAATACGTATATAATATATTAAAGAATAGAGATAGTAGCTACTTTTGTGTATTCAAACAAAATAAGATTTTTCTGATGTAAAAATTGTGCAAACCACAACCTGCTCCTCTTCTTCCATTCGCGAGTATATATTTTTTCTTTTTTTTTTGCGTTCCAGCAAGATAAAGGTTAAGATAATAACACAAGACAACTTCACATTATCGTCATGTAGCGGAACAAGCGACGATGCAGACTATGGCTGTAAATAAAGTGCTTGGAATATTTACAAGCGCTCCAATAGGGTTTTAGGGAAACTGGCGATCAGAAACTCCACGCTCGTTTCTTGTTGAACAAAGTGCCTTTTTTGACAAAACGTATGCTTACATGTGCACGAGGGTTCACACTCTTATTTTCAAGTTAAATTATCACGCCGAATTTGTCGCGAACAGACATTTGTTTTTGAAATACTCTACTAGAAAATAGCGTTGCTTTGAGTCACATTACGGGGAAACTTTTCCGAAACACGCCAAATAAATTGGTTACATATTAGAGTACAAAATAAATGTCATTCTTTTCTTACCGAGTTGGATGCCGAATCGTTGCTGATCATCAGCAACGATTATGATCATCATACGTTGCCGATCATCATACGTTGCCGATCATCATACGTGACTGAACGCGACACTGCAAAGGCAGGCCAGTTCACAAACCCAACATCCACATGTTGCATTGGATAGGAAGCGTTCCACATCCAGTGAACCTCACAATTTAAACCTTTGCTCATCCCGATCCCAACATTGGGCTTAAGTCACCAGGAATCTAGAACATGTCGAGAGCAATCCTCCACGTCTGGGAAGACTGCGACCGACATTAAATCGGGACATTAACACACCGAGGCTACGTAGAACTGACTGCATGTATAGGATTGAATGTAAACAAAACTGCACAGAAAATAAACTCTAAAGGCTAAGTTGTGTTTTTCCTTTTTGACAATGAAAACAAAAAAATATTGCCTTATCTGACTTTTAAATACATTCATCCCAGACACCCACACATCATCGTCACTAGCACAATAAGCTTCCGACATGCATTTTTTTTTTTGCTACAGTTAGGAAATTTACAGAAAAAAATATGAAGAAACTATAGGCTAGATGCAAAGTGCAGTTAAATCACGAGTCCAATCTCCCTGTAAGTTTGACAACATTGACCTATACATAATTTATATATATTTTAATATACTATCTTTAAATTAAACCTTTTTAAAGTTATTAAAGACATCAATGGCAGAAATAAAATAAAAACCCTGTTAATTATTGCATTAACTAAGTGAATGGAAATTAATGTACCATTACTTAAAGACCTCACTTAACACGTCACCTTAAATAAATATATAAAAATATCACCTGTGATTGAATTGCTGATAAACATGCTATCCATTTCCAGGATCCACTAGGTTATAAAAACAAAACAAAAATGTTAACTCCCAACATTCATAAATATGTAACAGTGACATCATTGGGATATTGGACATCTGGACCCATACCACACTTTACACAGCCTAGAGACCACCCACTAGCAACTAAAAACCTCACGTAGCTTCAGATGATGTGGTCTGCTTTAGCCGAGCTGAGACTCGGCGGGTTGTTAATCGTGCCGGCTCTCCTGAGCCCCGTTTCCCGTCTTCGATTGACGGCCCTCACCTCCGGCCCCTGACCTCCGGTCCCATGACCCTTGCCCTCCCTCCCCTGCTCGACACACCAGTCCCAGGGCAGCAGAGCGGGGGAGCGCTGCGTGCGGTGGCGGTGCCTCTCCGTCTGCCGGCGAAGGGGCCATTCACTTGAAAGCCGCAAACTCTCCTGTGGAGGTTTTAGCGAACAGAACAGGGGGGGAAGGAAGGCAAAGCGGATATTTTAGATGGCGCACGAATGCATAGATTAAAATCGACTACATAGGCTGGATCGTGCAAGTGAGAATCGACGCTTCTCAAATCACGTCTTGTTTTGAAAACGGTTCAATATGACCGCTTCTGCCACTAGAACTAGCTACGTTCCCCACAACGAAAAAATATTCTTCAAATCAAAGTTTAGCCTCAAGTCATAATTCAATTAATTGGAAAGGGGTCAAATGTTCAAAGATTATAACCAACTTTAATTACAAGCGCACAGTGAGTTGCAGTGACAACAAGACTTTTGGTGCCAGGACCCCAGATAATTGAGCTCCTGGTCCCTTGAGCCGTTTGTTGCAATAACTGTGATGTCAGAGCATTACCACTGTGTAGGGTAGGAGGATATGCATTCTCATCTCAGTGTGCAATCGTAAAATCAGGTGGGAGAGGGGGAGCAACAAGGTATGAAAATAGAGCTGGTGATTTTACTTATCGGCACAAACAGGAGCTGTTAAAATGTTTTTTTTTTTACATTTGTATCTCCTTAGTGTTTTAAATCCACATTCGATAAAGATTATTAGAATCAGCTTCACTTAACGCAGCTTTACAATTACTCCTTTATTCAAATCACACGAAACTTTACTTCCATTGCGCTTGCCAAACCTGATTACGCACGTGCTCGCTCACTGCAAAGGGTAAAACAAAAGGACGGGGAGAGAATTAATAACGCCAAGGCAAAAGTTGGTCCCGTGTGCGAAAGCGGCGCAAGCAGAGGGGTCGCTGCGGTGAGCGCGCTTGCGCGGAGACAGGGAAGCCAGGGCAGCGCCTATCGGCCACCGAGGCCTCCCGCAGGCCCCGTTGCGGCCCCAGCCGTGGAAGCTGAGGCCGAGGGGGCACTGCGGCACGAGTGTACGACTGCGCTGACCGTATCCGCCCGCCTGGATCGGGGTCCTCGGAGAAGCGCACGTGTAGGAGCTGAAGTCGTCCGTCTGGAAGCCGGCGCGGTTGAGCGACGGCTCCGACGCGCTGCGGTGGATCTTGGGCAGCGACCGCGCCAGCTGTTCGATGGATGCCAAAATCTGCGACGGTGGGAGAAAAAGTGGGGGGGGGGGGGCGGTTTTGGTGAGGGCAGACCGGTTGTGGGGTCAAGGATGATAGTTCAAGTCAAGTTTGTCAGCATGGCAGTCTGTCAGTGTCACTACATGAGTACTGCCTGGTGCAAACCACACATTGCAAAGCCAACGTAGATTTTTTTTCCTTCCAAGAACAAACTAGGCCACGTCGGTGAATATATACGGGAATTTTCTGCAAAGTAGATCTGCATAAAATTCCTGCACTCATTCTATCTCTATCGTGCGTCTAAAAAGAGAAATAGTGCTTAGATGGTCGGAGATTGAGAGTAAAAATTGAGTGGTAGCCCAAGGAGGGGACACGCTGGAGAGAATGTCCCCCGACATGGGGCTATGGCGTCAGACAAAGAAGAGCTCTCCTCTACGTGAACCACCGAAACTTGCCTCCAAAGCCCCGCATTACTGGCGCGTGTGTGCCACTACAAAACGCACCTGTGGGAAGAGCGGGCGGTCTTCGCGCTTCTTCTTCAAGCAGTCGATCATGAGCCGCTTCATCGTTTTGGGGCAGTTGCTGCGCACCTTGCTGAGGTCGGGCGAGAGGTATCCGCGCCCCACCATGAAGATGATCTGGTCACGGTTGTTGATGCTGCAGTAGGGCAGCTGGCAGGACATGAGCTCGAACAGGACGATGCCGAATGCATACACATCCGACTGGAAGCTGTAAGGATTCCGCTCCTTCATTCGTATCACCTCCGGTGCCTGCCAGGTGGGGATTATAGTGAATAATATTGTAGTGAATAATATTGTTTATTTTCAATGACGAATGCAATGACGATTCAATTGTTACTAGTGAAATGGGGTGCGGCGGAGGTGCAGCGGTTAACGCACTGCACCAAAGTTCAGTGGTGAGTTATACATGATCCAAGCCTGGGTACACCCCCCCCCCCATCACCAACCTGAATAGACAAGCGTGGTAAACTGTGGTCAAACCCCATGACCAAGAGGTGTGTGTGGGGGAGGCATTCGTCCAGCAGTGCATTGATACAGGGATGAGCATTACATTACTCGTGAAGTTACGGTGATGAAACTGATGTGTACAGGAACATCATCAAGAAATTATATCGGCAAATGTACGGTGCTGTACTCGCAGCAGTGCAGACTTGCGCATGCTATTGTGAATTATGATCTTGTGCTGTTTGACAAATTGGGAGCATTGTGCAGTGGTAAAGTGTGCGCTGTACACACTGTATGTGCAGTGGTGCGGTGTGTGAAGTCTTGTTGCATGGTGATACGCTACATGTGGTGGTTCCCCTTATAATATTGCACTTCATTCGTGCGACACTGCGTGTTTGTACAGCGTGATCGGAAGTGCAGGTGGTGACATCAGTCTCGCGTGTAGCTGATAGTGCGAGTTGTAATGGGGCTGCTGGTGCTTTTGGTGGTGGTATTATAGGGAGCGGTAGTGTGGTGGTTAGTGCGCTGCTCTATGAACCCAGCGGCCCGAGTTCGATTCCCGCCCACGACCAACACCAGTGACCATTATCTGAACCAGTTCTGGGCCTCCCCTCGGTCGACTCGGTCTCAAATGAGTACCTGGTGTGGTGTGTAAACATCGCCACTAGGGAGAAAAAGGGTGGCCCGGGTGTGGTGCTGGCCACCCACTGCCTCGTGTGCCGTTGCCAGCCTTCAGGAGGTGCTCGCCAACAGCACTTGCCCCAGCAGTCTGCTCAGACTATACGGGGGATCTTTGTCTTTTTGTTTGGTATTGGTGGTGCCAGTGGTGCTGGTAGTGAAGTAGTGCTACCATCCAAAGGATGGACCCAGACGGCTGCTCCAGCTGGTGAGAGCCGCTCCACCGAGCCTTCACTGTGGCCAGGCCAAAGTCTCCAATCTTCACCGTCAAGTCGTCGTGCAGGAAGATGTCTGTTCGGCACATCATGGAAAAGCCCACTATTTTGCGACAGGGGGAGTTCAGCACCACCGTACTGTGCACTCTTCTTACACGGTGACACTGGCAAAAGTGGCAACAGCAACTCTCGGGACTCTTTTGCTGCTGGCTAGTGCGACACAGAAATATCCAATACCCATTTAAAATGTGTGCATTGTAAGAGGTCACAGGTGGCTTCGAGGTCAGACGGATCAGGGGACCTCACCGAGATCCTGGACTAAAATCTGGGCAGACGCCCATTGCGCACCTCCAATTAGCACGGTTGGCTACATACGGTGCGAAAGAAGTTCAACATAATACGTACATACAGCGTACTCCCATATGTGCTTTATGATCTCAAACATCACATTACATGTAATTTTGAACTAAATTTGATGAAGTTTCAGCTCTGGGAATTAAACATATCAGTTTGGCTGTCATGCGATGAACATCTCCGTGTAGCGTGGTGTGGGGGGACGTGCTGCCCCCCCCTAGTCTGTGGATAAGAGGTCACCTGCATAATTCCGAAGCAGTTCTGAAATCTCGTTCTGCGAACCGCTGTGTAACACGGCGTCAAGTACCACTCTCCAAGCGTTCCGATGGGATATTCGCGTCATGCCACCATTACAACTTCATAATTGGAATAAAATTGGTTAAAAAAAGAGACTAAAAACTAAATATGTAAGTGTGTGTATTACAACGTGCAACTTCGTTACATTCGTAGAAGAAAAAAACGTTGCCACTTAACCTACTACCACCACCTGGTGGCAAAACCCTCGCACAAACAAATATAATAAATGACACATTTGCATTAACAAACCAGATTTCTTGTAGTGCAGGTTAAACAGTGAATGTCTGGTCTACTCGGGAACTGGTTAAAATAAAACATGTCTTGAGTCCAGCCTCAAAGGTACACACAGTCAGTAAGTTCACGTGACCTTTAAAATGTCCAGCAAGGTCCCTGCTTAAACACAAATTCAGACTTAAGTCAGTACATAGATCTCTAATATTCAATGCATCATTACAGAAAGGATACTATTCGACTTCAAATCTCGGTGGATGATGGATTTTGCGTGCAAATAACTGGGAAAAAAGAACACACGCACATAATTATTACTATTCCAAAACAAGCATTCATATAAAATCCTTTTCAAGGACCTATTTATGTTTATAACTGATAATTGGGGCATTATTTCAAAAACGACAAGAATAAGCCACACTCTATAGCTCGTGTGCAGGTGTGAGTTACATCGCAGGATGGTGAGAGATGGCACTTGCTGGGGAATGATGCCTTCAGCAGTAGATTGTGATCAATGCTGATGGTGATCATGATGACTACAGCAGCTCAGTTACAATGTTATAGCAAGGCTTCAATTGTGCATTGCTATCAGCAAGTCTTTTATTTAAAGTCTTGCAGCTCGCTCCTCCATGAAGAGGATAAAAACAATATTTCTGAACGATTGTTCACCGCCCCCAAGTGTAACCCAACGTGTGGTTTTACGGTGAGTCCTCGCTTACCGCGTGGTGTTCACACGACGCGTTGTCGCTATAATGCGGTGCTTCCATTGGGGAACACTTTTCGCAAAACGCGGAACGCGCACCGTTATGACGCGGATTCTGCACGGTCGGCGATGAACTACTACTTTCGTGAGCTACACGGCCGAGTGGTGCGATACAGTACGCGGCGGTGCACATTCATACGAGTTCTATGTCCCTCCATGGGATGACTGCAAAGGCTGATTTTATCGCGCAAATGTGACTACAAATTTGCACTGTATTTATTTATGCCCCGTAATGTATGTGCAGTAATACCTCGCGTGATATGGCACTTTGCAGGAATGCATCGAGGGTGTAAAAACGAGGAATAACTGTACGTGTGGCGAGAAGTTAACTACCTCGCCTGGTATACAAGAGGTCGTGGATCCCCACCCTGTCGCCTGTATATTTGGAGTTAAGCATGTTCTCCCCGTGGTTGCGTGGCTTTGCCTCCGAGTTCTCCGGTTTTCCCTTCACTTTTAGAAACATGCGTTCAGAGTATATGGCTGCTATAAATTTCCACGTGATAAGCCACTTCGTTGGGCAATCTTTTGTGGCCAGGTCACTTCTGAAAAGAGTTATATAGCTCAGTGGGCCTTACTTGGTAAAATACAAAGTGTATTATTTTATTTTCGTATCGTATGTACAAGGCCATTTCCCCCCCGCCACTTTCCCCCAACACATGCCGCACTTACTCCATGCCCTGGGCCGTCTGGCGAGCGATGTCAATGAGCTGGAAGATCTCAAACTTAGTCTCGAGGATGTGCAGGTGGCGGTAGAGGCTCGAGCCCTCGCACCACTGCGTCACGATGGCCAGCTGTGGCTTGGTGGTATAGCCCATGAAGAGCAGAATGTTGACGTGGCGAGTTTTTCTGCCATTAGACCAACAACAACAATGTACGCATGTTGGGCTTCTTTTCCACCGTACGTAACCAACCGCGCTAATCGGAGGGTGCAGGGGAAGAGCACACTAAACACAAAAAGCAGCGGTAAAGAAATGAGTTTTCAATGGACAAAAGTCATTGCGGCATTCTGTCTCGCGATTGCAAGGTTATTTGAGACATGTAACAATGGCAACAATTAATCATTGAAATTGATTTGTAAGCTTGTGGTAAATCATAAATGTAATAAGGGATTATGCTATTTGTAATTGTATTTCATTTGTTTATATTAACCATGCAACTAATAGTAGAGGAAGTACATTCACCACAATGAATATAAATAATCAGTTCTGGAATTCAATAGTGGTTAACCCCAAATCGTTATTTGCCAACATTTAAAAAAAATGTTCTTAAAAAATATTTCTACACCACATTCCTACATTTGATATAAATGTATCTGAATTTTCTGCAAAACTGCTCCAGATGTTGATCTGAAATAAAGCTGAATTACAATTCAAGTGATACACGTTTTTATTACCAGCGAAATAGAAGGGAATATATGTATTTATGTTGAACTTCTTTTGCAGCGTACGTAGCCAACCGTGCTAATCGAAGGTGCGGGGTGGGGGGGGGTCAACAAGCCAGTTTAACACGTATTAGCCATTCTCGACCAAATATTACCCATACGGTTTTTTTTGGATTAGATGGCGTCAACTCAACAACAACAACAAAAAACCCCATATTATGGACAACCAAGTAAACGTAAAAAAAGCAGGGAAACAAATCCGATGCACACGTGGGCAAACTCTTAATTGGTCACGCCCACGACGTGTGCTGGCACGTAACTCTCCAACGAGCGACCGCGGTTGCGTTTTATGCATTCCGCGGGAGACCCACCGAAGCACGCCGACCTCGTTCTTGAAGGCCTGCAGCTGCTGCGGGGTCGGGTCGGTGACGTTGAGCATCTTCACCGCGACGTCTCCTGCAAGCACGGCACAACCGCGGCACAGCGCACGGTTGCTTCCCCGTTTACCCCCAAGGTTCGCTCTTCCATCCTTAAAAACATTGATGGTAAAATTTACGTGCTGTGCCCAGCCGATGCGAGCCGGTTTCTCGATGCCGACAGCAATGAAGATAATGTGGCTAAAGATACGATAAGGGTTGTCCTTTATTAAGCTAGGTGCGAGCTCAAAAAGATGTATCATCACGCTTGCCAAGGGCCTGGCTCGTATAGAAGTAATTTAACTTTTGCACGTGGCTTTTGTAGGCAAATTCTAGTCAAAGATGTTACTTGGTGGTTCTTGTAACACCCACTTTGCAGAAGGCACTTTGGTTCATTCCCCACAATAAAATACCGACCCGACACAGCAGTCGAAACTGCTGACCGTGTACAAATTGACTTTGGGGAGGGGGATGGAGATGGTTTGAACCGCTGGGGCCATCCAGATTTTACCGTTACGACATTCCATCCTCTCACCGTGCCACTTTCCCTTGTAGACCGTTCCAAAGGAGCCGGAGCCTATCCTCTGCCCAGCAGTGATCTGTCCCTCTGGGATCTCCCAGTCGTCGCTGGAGTCACGCCGCCCTATCTGTTTCTGCAGGGCCCCAAAACAAAAGTGGAGGACAAAAAGTAGAGCGCACTCCCAAGGTCAGCGACAAAAAACAACGCGTTCCCTCGCCGAACATTCGCGCGCGCAATCGCACATCCAACGTTGGTGCCACGACAAAATCTAATTGTAAGGAAATCTATTTTTAAAATTCCGTATTTTTTTATAGAAACCGACTCCGCGAAACTTGCACTGGCTGAGAAGGCACACATTAACAATAGAACAATAGTAAAATAATATATATTTGAAAGCGTTGCCTGCTACACGTTATTTTTTGTTTATAAAAACCACAAGGTTGAGTTACCTGCAATGTGATTGGCTGCGTGGCCTTATTCAGAGGCCAGTAACCTTAGTCAAGTAAAACAACCAATACAATTCATAATTTCTAAATCAAAATCTAAAATAAATACTTAAGTATATCTTAAGAAAATGAACTTTATTAAATAAACCGCATGCTCATTTTTTTAATACAAAATTATTCAATATATATTTTTTTTAGCAACTTTTGCTGGCACCAGCTAAGGTTAACATTTTGATCGTACAAACAACAATGGGAGCGCCGAGGGTCACTAACGACGCCAGCTCGTACCATCCTGGCTCGGTCCTCCGAGGACGCCGAGGGCTTCCTCTCTCGAGGCAGTGACTTGGAGGGGGGCTTGGGCATGGCGATGCTGCCGGGCAGCGTGGCAGGAGGGGTGGCGGACAAGCCCGCACCTGCGTGCGCTGGCGAGGGAGTGCAGTATGGCAGGTGGGGGTAGGTACAGGGAGGCGTGTGAGAGGGCGGTAAGAGTCCAATTATTTGCATGGGGGCCGGCTGCTCAGATTTTATTTTTCCAGCGCAATTCTATTTTGCGCTTCACATTCACTGTCGGTACACAGAGACCCATACACTTACTGACCTACAAACTTGCACACGCTTACATGATCCGTATATTTACATAAATAAACCATAGGCTTGCATAGAAACCCACCATAGGTTCCTCTTCTACTATATTCACAGCCACAACCCTCATATCTCGTTTAACCACATCCGCTCGTCACACCCCCAGGCTCCCTCTACTCCTTCTTCCCTGCAGCAGCAGCAGCATCTTTGGTAATCATGAGTGGGGTAATGTCATCGTTTTGAAACATCCGCACACTTGCACCACCGACACCGTGTGTGGGTATTTCAGAAAGTCAGTCTAGATAGAGGCAGGCCGCAAATCATACTGATTTACATTACCTCTGTTTTACCCACTTCTATGGGCCGTTCTAACAGACAAAGGGCTGTACTGCTCTGCAAGTAATCTCAAGTTGAAGTTCATTTGTTTAATCTGTTTAAACAGGTGAGAAATCAAGAGACTACCAGGGAAGTCTAATTTGCAAGAGTGACCTGGGTTAGCAAAATACAAAGACAAAACAAACAATATAATGTACAGTCACTCCATCACATGACATAACATCAATAGAGCACATGGGATATTGGCGAAAAAGACAAAAACTAAACAAATTAAAATGTTGCTATCAGTTGAGTCCCACCAAAGAGGCAGACTTGTGTGGCGTGCATGTTTCACCTGAGCCAGTGCCTTGTGGTGCGTTCTGGCCCCTCCGCAGGTCCTAGGGTGAAGAACAACATTGGCTTAAAAAAAACAACAACCAACGTGCAACCTGCTAGAACAACGGTCAAAGTTGGAAGCAAGAGCTTCAAGGTGACCAGGATATGGCAGGATAGTAAATGGTTACATGAGCCCAGCTGCACACGTCTTTGAGTGATATCCGTTTGTATTCATGGGTATTTACAAATGTAAAAACTCTCCTTAAAATAGAATAACCCAAACACCCTAATGTGGAGCACTCGTACAAAAAAAGTCTGGAATCTCGGCAATGATTTACTGAACAAATTAGACACTATGAGAAATTCTCTGCCACAATTGTAAACTTGGCATAGTGCGTGATAATTAAGTTGATGATGAAATGGCAAGCAAGTTTTAGAAAACCATGCATCCATTTGTCTTTGTACTTGCTCTGCAGAACGGAAGCTGACCTGTAAGCTAGACAAAAATGCATTTGAACTTTTCCAAATAGTTTTGTTTGCTCTGGTTTGCATCTTCAAAGTCTTGGGAAACTTTGATACATTTAACCGGTTTTCAAAAGGAAAAGTCCCCATTGACAACACAACTTTATCCCACGAGATATTTCATTATTGAATAATCTTTACAAGAGTTTAGGTCCCACCCGTTAAGGGAAAAAAACAAAACGAAAAACAGATATAATGCATAAACACTTTCAACCTTAATTCTAGTTTTGTAGTTTTCGTGACTGCAAGGATCCATACTCTTTGGTTCTTTCGGTAAAGTCACGTAGATGAAAAATAAAAATGAAAATAGACCATGCTTTCCCACCTGATGACAGACGCTTGTGTTACGCCCGAAACATCGTGATTTAATTTAGTTATTTTCATTTTATTATTTTCATTATTATTTTTCATCTTTCATCTACGTGACTTTACCGAAAGAGCCAAAGAGTAACTCTTTGGTTTTTTCGGTAAAGTCACGTATAAATAAGAAATAATAAAATAACATTATTTCTTATTTATACGTGACTTTACCGAAAAAAACAAAGAGTAATTCCTGCAGTCACAAAAGCTTCGAATCAAGTCTGAACCAAAGAGTACTTTCAACCTTAGTTGGAAAGTGTTAGAAACTACAAAAGTAGTCTGCCAATTATAAGATGCTCCGGAAATAAAGATGCACCCAAAATATGATCCTGCTGTATGTATGCATGTTGAACGTCCTTTCGCACTTGACGTGCGGGGGAAGGAGAACAAACTAAACACAAAAATCAGTTCTAAAGAAATTAGTTTGGAATTTAAAAGTGCATCGCTACAGAGGCTTCCTAATATCGGAAGGAAGAGCAATCCAGACATCCGCAGAAGCGCATCTGAAAGCGCACGATGCGGTGGCCGCCTTTGTTTGAGGGTTTGGCAACAGTGGCTGCTGTGACAATGACCGGAGTTTTGCGTGATGGCTTATGCTCCTTCACGAGATCAAGCAAGGTATCACAGTTCACTTGTGGCAAGCACTTTGTGTGTAACGAGCGCGACCTCATTCCGCCACCGATTGTGTGCCCGACCTCGATGAGGCTGCTGTCGACGGGCCCGACCGTGCTGTTGATGTGCACGTTGGGTGCGGAGGTGGAGCGCTCGCGTGGGGTGAACTGGCCACGGTGGTCCTCCTCCCCGGCCGGCCGGCACGGCTGCGGGATCGGGATGGAGTGCGACGGCGACATTGGCGGCTTTGCCACGGGACTGCGGGGCGAGATCGTTGCAGGGTGGGTGGGTGGGGGGCAGTGGGAGGCGGGGTACGAAAAGGAAAGGGGACGTGAAACAATGACAGTGGTGGAAAGAGCACAGCAGTAAAGCGAGTAGGTTTGTGAACCCACCTGAACCGAGTTAAGGGCAATGGAGTTTGAAATGCATGAGATGTACACGTACAGCCGTTTTGTTTGTCCATTTACTGGGCATCTGGGAAAAAAAGCTTCATAGCTCGTCAGATTCCTCCAGTCTAAATAAAGATTCTGATTCAGAATTAAGACCTCCCCACACCGTGTGGGTCGTGGTAGTTTGTTGGACAATACTTGACCACGCTGGTCAGTGCATATTGATGAAGTCATGGAGCATAGATGTGGGAACTTAGCACAGTACAACATTAACTGGTGGCCCGCGGGCCAAGTGCAGGCTGCAAAGGCAAGCTATGGCTCACGAATAGCTGATGGATCAGCGAGACATAACGAGCTCAACATAGTTATCCTCTGTGAAGATAAGAATTGGACTGTGGGATTCTGCATGTGCGTATGTCGGAACTTCTTTCGCACCGTACGTAGCCAACTGTGCTCATCGGAGGTGTGGTGGAAGGACAAACTAAACACAAAAAGCAGTTCTAAAGAAGTAATTTTACAATTTAGATTTCAAACTAGATAGCTACAATGGCCTCCTAATATCGGAACAGCGTTCCAGACGGCGACAGAAGCGTACCTGAAAGCAGACGATGCAGCGACTGTCTTTCATTCCATGGTCAGCCAAAACCAGCTGCTAGCGAGGATGACCGGAGTTCGCGCGATGATGGTTTATGCTCCTTGACAAGCGCTTTTTGTGTTTAACGAGCGCGACCGTACAAGTTGACAGTGGAGCAAGAGGAGAGCGGAAGGGGACAAGTACGAGGGAAGACCGCCACCTTGTAGACGTCGCCAGAGCAGAGCTGGGCGCTGCCCCGGACGCAACGTGGTGGGGCGACACCGGTGTGGCGCTACCAGATGAGCCCTCTTCTGGAGCCACCGGCACAGTCTCCAAGAACCTGGGACACAGCACATGGGTACCCCGGTAAGACAACACCATCATTGATGAGTTACCCTTAACATAAACTAGGGGGTGTTCGAGTGGTAGCCCATGGGTCAGACGACTCTATGTTAGCCACTGAGGTCGTTACGGGTTTCTTTTATCATTCCTGTTTGCTCCGTGCCTCCTGTACCGTTCCTGTCCTGCTGTAATGTGAACCATTTTTTTATTTTACCAGATAAGGCCCACTGAGCTATATAGCTCTTTTTGAGAAGCGACCTAGCCATAAATGATAGCTCAAGAAGTGGCTTATCAATGTGGAAATTTATACCGGCCAAATACTCTAAATACATGTTTCTAAAGGAGGGGGGGAAAACCGAAGAATCTGAAAAAAAATCCATGCGACTATGGGGAGAACATGCACACTCCAAATATACAAGTGTCAGTCGGTATCAAAGTGCACTGATGCCTACTTTATTGAGGGTGATATTAGCAAATTACATAAAGATTGAAAGGCTCTTTAAATGGCCAGTTGTGATATTAAACTAGACAGGTTTGTAAGATGAAAGCTAAATAAGGGATATATATGAGTGAGCTGGAGATAAGCAATAACAATTAGTTAGTTGAAAGAGCTAAACAGAATCAGAATCTTTATTTATACTGCAGGATGAGCTCTACAGCTATTTTCACAGATGTCCAAGAGATGATAGACCTGGAGGAAATAAATACAAATTATTCGCGGCTGGTAGATCCATCCCCTCTGCTATTCTCTCACCTCGGCAGCCCAGCCCCGAGATCATAGCAGGGGATCTATACAGGACAAAAAAATGTAAACAAACAGGCAAAAGACTTATCACCATGAAAACCTGGTACCAATGCGAGCGTTGAATAGTGAACCCTAAAACAACTCACTCGAGGCGGTCGATGTTAACGCACATCATGGGCACCTCGGTGCTGCAGCGCTGGTGGAACTTGTAGCCACACGTTTGGCAGCGGAAACCTTGGAACAGCAGCTTCCGGCAGAAATCACAGAAGGCCAGCGTGAAGTACGTCTTGCGTACCTAAGTGCACGACAATCGCAGCGGGCAGGAAAACGATCACCTCGTGCAGCAATCACAAACGATATCCTGTAAGGGAGGAGTTGTTCAACTATATTTTCGTGCTTTCCATCAGGTCACATGACATAATTATCCGGTGTACAGACGTCATAACGGCTGTACATGTGACCGCTAATCAGTACCTCTCCTCTATAGATCTTTTGTTTATCTTACTTTCATCTTAGCCATCTTTATCTCAAGTGCGCAGCTACACTCTCTCTTGTTTATCTCTCATCTGACTAATCTGTTTCACCTTGTCGTTTGACAATCCATGTCTCTAGGTGGGCTATATATCCGGCAGCCGACGCAAGAGTCTTACATGGGTCAGATGTGGCCTTGCGGATGTGGACAAGAGAAAAACACGTGGACGTGTGAGCTCACAGTCATCATTGCAGTGCTCGCAGAATGCGGAATATGCACCAAACAGACGGTAAATAAGCATGCTCGGCATGGGAAGAAATGACCTCACGTGAGCCACTTTACATCAATGGTGGGTCGAGTTATTTGAGCAGCTGGCACACTGTAACCCTGTGCTACAAAAAGTCTCGTTCATAATGATAAACTATACACTACTCTCAATTGCACAAATAATATTATACTAATATTATATAACGCATATATCTGCACGCTACTCTCCCACTTTTAATATCACAATGCTAACTAAACACAGCACCACAAATATTCCCTAACATTATATACTTGCTAACAATGGACACCAATCAAATATACGACCAAATATAAATGTATGCATTTGTGTAACGATATTATGACCACGACAAAGCATTGCAAAGGAGTATAAGGGACGTTAGTTTGTTACCGTAGACCAGGGATGGGGGGGGGGGGAACCCATGACCCATGGCTGGATATGACCAACGACTTCATGTCTTACGGTTCCGGCCACACACGGACCGGGGCCTACCACTTCGGGAACGGCCTGCAAAAACGGCGTTTATCCACCACTCCGTGCATCTTAGCCACGCCGATCGGGTAACTAGAGGGGAAACTAATGGACCCGGTGACACCGTTTTCCGAATACTCCTGCCTCGATGTTAAGAAGCGGCCCGCAAAAAAAGGTATTTAAAAGTCTTATTCGGCTCGGTCTGGAAAAAAAGGTTCCTTCATCCCTGGCGTAGACAGATGGGGGCATCACCATAACTCCATCCCACGCAGAGACCCGCAGTGACAGAGAGGTGGTGGTGGGGGGGGGGGGGGCTCCGCACTTACGAAATTGTGCGTGGTCAGTGGCACGTGCTCCAGGACCTCCACGGTGAGCTCCTCCCCGATGAGCCACGACATGTCAGTGTTCCAATCTATGAGCAGCTTCTGGCTGCAGGAGCGCACAGCACAAGAAGGCAACGACGTGAGTCTCGCAACGTCTAGCAGGGGTGCTAACATTTTTGAACGCTCATCGACGCGTTCCATCGGCCTGAAATGCAGTCTTGTACGTTGCCCGCGACGCTTAGGCTCGTTTGGAACAACTAGGCAATGAGCGGGCACGTGCGGCTGATGAAGAGTTACGTGTGGGTAGGGAGAGCCGCTGAATCTCAGTGGGATTTCCAGGTGATAAGTCAAGCGGGTTGATGGCTTGTGAGTGCTGAATGTCTGACAAGGGTCAGTTGAGTGCCATGTGCCGTAAGACAAGCTTGCCCACTCGTATAAAATAAAGCAATGAGAGTGCAAATTGTCAATAGTACAGAGGGATAATTTGTAGATACCCCCACTGACTTCCTAACAACTGTCTTAACAACAGGTGAGGGGTTTGTATCCTAGAGAAGAGTGATAAGGGATTGAATGGATGTATTGAGATCTGTGCAAGACAGAGTTTTGAAATAAAATGTTGTCTTTCCACGTAAACTTTCTCTATTATTTTAGTGGGTGTCTATAAATGGATCATCTTGAATGTCTGCTTTACAGTGGGGCAAATAAGGTGACGTAACCTGTGGGATAACCCTTGCACATTTGTACGTCACATGCGCTATATATTTGTGTTTTAAATTAAGCTACAGCTCAATACCTGAACACGTAATCGCACACCCATTTAGAGCATTTTCACGTCCACTTGGGACTTAAGGTGACAGGCGTGTCGTCCCCCGCAGTTTGGCCGAAGCATGAAAGCGGACGGCCACATCAGTATCAAACGCACACTCGGGAGAGCCCCACTGAGGAGCAGCGGGCAGCGTTTCATCCCGCTGGGAGGAATACTGCGCTCCGTACAACCGGGTAAACCAGTTCGCAACTGGCCACATTGAGAGGCAGTCTATCCACTTTGTGAGTCATTGGTTACTGTCAGAATGTAACCACATTGAGAGGCAGTCCACTTTGCAAGTCATTGATTACTGATGGTATGTAACGTTCAGCCCTGTTGTCAATCCACCAGCTGTATGAAGACCTACCTATGCCGTGCGCGTCATGCTAGCGATTGGACGCTGCTCAAAGTGGGTTTACTGAAACTGGAAAGCTAAGACATGGGCGTATGGCAGTGCAGTGCAACAATATATTTCGCTGCATTGCCCCCTGCTGACCACCCAGTAAGCACAACCCATTATCCACCTATAACAACCAAGTGTGCATGGTAGTCACTTCCCCACTATTCAGGCACAACTGTGCTTAGCTTCTGATATCGCTGGAGATGGAGCATTCCAGGTGATTTAGTGGTAGGCTTTTACCTGCTATTAATAAAAGGAATTTTATTCTATTGCATTGTTAGTGTTGAATTGGAACAAGGTTTAGAAGCTGCACAAGATATTGGCTAATGGTTATTATAAATTATATGGTTGTCATGCAACTTTTAATAAAGATAAGGTTTTTTAAAATAAAATTTTGAGGCCAACAACATCTGACTGCTAAAAACAAAATGCTACAAATTTACAGATATCGGGGGCAGGGGGGGATGAAACGTTATTTTAAATTTGTTAATAAACAGCTTTGAAATAAAAGTAACCCTACTTTTACATTTGTGTAACGCAATGCATTAACAGCAACAATGGCATATTAAAATTGTTCCGTGGATGGCATTTTAGGTATCTGAGCACATTGCTGCCCTAACACTGTGCTAATTGAAGGACATTCTGTGACTATGCATATACTGTTCTTTAGAGCTGTGCCAACATTACACCTACGGGTGGTCTGGAGCTGTTTTTTGCGCAAAACAGCAGCGGCGGCCGTATGTTGGAAACTTGCCAAAGTCAGGCAAACACATTCCTGCGGAGGGAGCTGGTAGGAACGTTGGGTTGCTCGGTCAATGGCCAGGGTCAACGGCGGCGTGGTGTATTCCGCAAATATGCCCGACTGTGAGGGCGGGCACAAGCCGGCGTGAGTAGGTTAAACGTTGAGTTTTATAAGGGCACCACGGGGTGACCAGCCCCTCCCCACCCAGCCCCACCCAGCCCCACCTTCCTCACCCAGCCCCTCCCCACCCTCCCCACCCAGCCCCACCCTCCCCACCCAGCCCCTCCCCACCCTCCCCACTCAGCCCCACCCCTCCCATTTTTGGATGCACGATGGACGGACACAATAATCCCCTGTGGGCTGGTGTAACCAGGAGGTTCCTACCAGTATTAAACGGGGCAATAACTCCGCATCGTGCTCCAGCATCAAACAGATTATGGAGTCGTCTGTAGTGAGACTCAAGGCTGCGCTGTATCATCACTCGCAATCCACTCAGAGGAAGACGGGCTATATTAAGTTTGCATTGGAGTATAAGCATGTCACGCTTGGCGTTGGAACTAAACACCATTTAATACAAACATACATAATTTAACAGATACTGAGCGGGGCACATCGAGCAATTTGCTCAACATAATTAACATATTTAAATACTTTATTGAGTGTCTGGTTTTGAAGGTAGCATGGAACAAAATCATGATCAATGCGTAGAGGGCAATCAAAAATGCCATCCTTAGTTCTAAAGTTATGTGCTTTCACAAGAATGTTATACATTTTAAATATGCCATAAAATGAGCAAACGTGCACAAGTTTTCCAACATTTACATTTCAAGGTTGACATGTACATTCTGTTCATACTTTTGTATTTCATCATGAAAATGTTGCCAACATTTCTTCAGGAACTTGTAAACCCCCCTCAATTGTTATCTCTTTCTTATCCATGTTTTTACATTATTTCAAATGTCTTGACTTACATTTTTTTACAATAAACTTTGAAAAAAACACCCATTTCAGATTGTTACCTTTATCTCAAGACCCTTAAAGTCTACCAGAAATCTTTGGACCACAAACACTCGTTGTTTCTTTAGATTCATATTGTCTTCCCAGATGGTGCCTCATCTCCCACCAAATAACACGTTTTGGACTACAGTGAGCATTTGTATTGAAAGAACAACTGTAAACACATCTGTGGGGGAACAGCATAGCAGCAGTTAGTGCACAGAACTATACACCTGGCAAACCTGTGTTTGATTTCTGGCCACGGCTCACACTAGTGTCGAGCGATATCTAAACCAGTCCCGTTCCACCAGCACAACACCCACCCCCATCTTCACCAACTCAACCGTCACAGCCTTCACCAACCCACACTGACCAATGTGGTAACGTATGGTCAAACAATCCCAAATGACCTGACACAACTGGAGGCCTTGATCCAGCAATGGAATGACAAAGGGCCTGCAAATGTATACATATATATGCATTTGTTTCCCCACATACATTACTTTAAAATCAAGGGACTTTCTTGTGAGTATATTTTGCACGCAAGCACATTTCCGTATGCCAGTAAACCGGTGGTCACAGGGTACCTTATTAATTACCCTGTACGTGCTTTCAGCCTGGACGCTTCGGACAACGTCTAAAAGTTTTCGCTTGGCGCGAGCGAGACATACTTCCCCTGCATGCGATGCACGGCGCAGCACTCTGCCGTGAGACCTCGCATCTTCAGCGCCTTGGCCAGGCTGTTCAGCACCGTCACGCCATTACGGGCAGGCACCTTCGCGATTAAACAAAAATCATTTTTAGCAACACGCGCAAACGCAACGGCAAGGACACGACACACCGACGTGTATTATTACACGTGTTTAAAGACAGCGCTCATGTCACCACACTTTAATTTCGCTTTTGGCGACGACCATCTCGGTTGACGGTCAGCCCATGGTGGAAATTAGACATCCCACGGTCGGGACCAGTCTTTTCTTGGGAAAACTACTGCCGAGTTCCCACAAAGGAGTACATATTTTTTTCAGACCCAGCAAAGATTTCGAGACCCACTCCACCCCCCAATCAGGATTTAAAGTCGTGACGTTCTACTTTAACAAATACCCGTGCCATGGTCATATTTTTTTTTACATTAACAGGCATATAAGCTAATGAAACTTAATGCATCTTAATTATTTTTCTGTTTTATCATGCAACGTGGTAAAGTCCTGCCAACAAATTGTGCAACGATGCCGCTACACTATGCGGTCGCTACGCACGACCCGTCCAGGCAAGCCGCGCTACCTGGTATGCAAGCCATCCCCCATACAGGGCAACATGGCCTTTGTATAGTTTTCTTTGCAGAAAAAGAATTAAGCTTTTCATTCTGGTGAGCAGAAATTCCTTTATCTTACATTCTGGTGAAGAAAAAAGGATCGAGGTTTCACCAATCAGTAATAGTGGGCCAAATGAAGGGAACCACGGAAGAAATTAATTCAGCCCCATCAACACCAATGGGCTGACGGACGGGAGAGATGATGATAGCTATTATGGTCACATGGAAGTCCTCGGAGTACCCACACTTTAATCCAACCACGTGACCTATCAACTGAAAATAAACCTTCTACTTTTCAGCTTGGAACTGCAAAACTTTACTACCGCAAAGTAATTCTGCTTACTCGTGCAGGAGGCCTGCCCAGTCACGAGCGTCGCGAGCATAGGCGTTTCATAATATTCCACGTTATTTAATTATTACCGTTACACAACCAATTTGGGCGTGGAGCGGTGACGCAGTGGTAAGTGCAATGCGCTATGAAACTAGCAACCCGAGCTTGACTCTCGCCCATGGCCAGCATCAGTGGCATGTAACACATGAACTAGTCACCAAAACGCGATGACCAACACGCTGAGAACATTATCAAAGAACACCGATGAATAACAGCACGCAGAGGCCTTTATACTGTAGTTGACTGACAAATGATGGTAAATAACGCGAAATCAAATTCAAGCATAGGCATGGATTATGTAATGATGCATTTCTCCTCAAAAATATTTAATCAAACGATGATAATGGCAGCGACGAAACCAGTACATCTGTAGGCCACGATGAGACGGTGGGCTCGGAAAACTGCTCTGCCGGGGCAGGAGCGCGTAACTATATTATAAATTTGGCAGGTTTTCTCAAATAACAGCGACACAACTTTATTATAAAGTTTCGTTCCATACTGGATGATAGTATAAAAGAGTTAGCGTGCCACACCATTTTATAGGTGGACGGACGGACAATCAGAAAGACAGAGCTGATGCAACACAATGCTTGCGATCGAAAGTCAGAAAGCGCACGCGCGAGCAAAAAAACCTCGAGTGGGACAAACCTACCACGGTCCTCTGCTTGTTGGGGAGAAACACGCGCACCACATGTCGTTGCGGGGACCTGGGCCCGGAACCCGAAGCCCCCTCGGGGTGGCCGGCGGACTGCCCGAATCCTTGCGACTGCGAGGAGGAGGAGGAGGAGGAGGGCAGCGACGGGTCGCCCGCCGAGCCGGGGGTCTGCTGGTCCTCGGAGCAGATGCTCTCGGGTCGGCTGTTGCCCATGGACTCGAGCAGCTCTTGTTCCCGCTGCTGCAGCGCGTCCAGCTTGTTAGTGTACTCCTCGTACGCCTGCCACGCACGGGTGGGGAGGTATGTAAAGAACTCCAACTCGTTCCAACTCCGCCATGGTAGCAGGTAGCACCTTCAGTGTGGAGCCGGTAGTTGGAACTACAGTACTCTAGTGAGACACCATAGGATGATCTAGCGTACAACTAAATCACCCTGAACAATCTCAATCGAACTCAGAAGCTACGCGGGGTTAGTACTTTAGTAAGAGGCTCCCTGAGCTGCAAGGTGGTCAGGAGTTATCAGTATAGCAATGGATTCCTGAATCTGTCTATATGTCCGTACAAATTAGAGACTCCACATTGTTTAGCGAACGCAGTGCACGCTTTACAGACACGTCGCTCGTCTGGATATCACAAGCACGAGACAGCGGCAGCAAGGGGGCAATCACACACCTCGAGGTAGATCGAGGGAGGATTGTGCTCGCCGCCAAACTTGTCCAGCAGAGCCGTCAGGTGCTCCTGCGTGAGCTTGATCATCTGCTGCAGGTTCCATACCTGGCAAAGGTAAACATCGATGCACCAACTTCAGCCAAATTACAGGCCAGCTCAGACATTTTAACGAAATCCAAAATAAATGTACGTAGGTATGTGGAACTTCTTTCGCACCGTACGTAGCCAACCGTGCTAATCGGAGGTACAGGGGAAGGACAATAAACTAAACACAAAAAGCAGTTCTAAAGAAATGAGTTTTCAATCTAGGTTTAAAAGTACATAGCTCCAGTGGCTTCCTAATATCGTCATACATTTTATAATTCTAAATTATGCTTAACCTGTCAAAGAAAAAAAGCAAGCTTCCACGTCTCGTTCACTCTCACACCATAAGGCGATTGAGCATGTAAATCCCCCCACAAATCTGCTTTGCCGCGCGCGCTACAGCGATGCGTGCACAAGTCGGCCCGCAAGCCGCACTCCATTTGACAGAAGCAGATGGGAATTCCTAATCCGCTTGCTCTCTTGGTGTACCAAAAACCGGACCGGTACTGCCCTCCAGACCTGGAACAAAATCGAATACGGCCAAACAAAACAAACAAAAATAATCAACTCTTAAGCCCCCCCCCCCTTCCATGGAAATGAGATCAAACGACGCGGCCTGCAGCCAACTGATTACCATGAGCTTATCCAATTACTACAGACACAAAATCCTGCTATTTATAACGAAGCTGCAAACAAGCTGGCATACAAGTTGGATGGTTGTCTCAACGGCAGCGTGCGGCCTAATTTGTAACATAACTTCACAATAACTCAAACACGACTCCCAGTGTAAACACAGCGGCTTTGTTTATACAAATAGCAATACAGTGTTGCATATGCTGTACGTGGCATTTGTGTAAGTATATAGAGAATTGAACACGTCGGTTGATATATAAAGATCGTTTAAAAATGTATAACCGGCTGCGCACACACAGGTGGTGGATGTTTAATTGTGGAAAAAAAACGTACAGCCTGCGCCTCGGGCACGTGACGACTCGTCAATCAGAATCGACTTGTTGCCTTCACGGCATATTCATCAAATAAAGCATGCATGAAACGATTATTGATTAACCATGCAGATTTTTTTTCCGATTAGCTCGGCTGGCTACGTACGTTGCGGAAGAAGTTCAATGTATATACATGCGTACAAATGATGGAATTATAAGGGCTATACAGGCGTCACCGGTGCACAGCAGAAAGGTGTAGAGCGAAACCGAGGGTGAAACGGAAGAATGTGGTGGATCGAGACACGATGAAGATAGTGGATGCAAATTACTATAAACTATTTTTTATTTAACCAGGTAAGGCCCACTGAGCCATATAGCTCTTTTTCAGCAGCAACCCAGCCACAAATGATAGCTCAATGAAGTAGCTTATCACGTGCAAATTTACAGGAGCAAATACTCTAAAAGCATGTTTGCAAATGTGGAGGGGAAACCCGGAGGACCCAGAGAAAAATCCACGCAACCACGGTGAGAACATGGATACTCCAAATATACAGGCATCGGAGTCTGGATCAAACCCACCAGGCAACAAAGTTAAAATCTAGCCAACGCAGAGCATAGAAGGGCATGGTAAAATAAAATCCGATCAGCTGACCCAATGCAAGAAGAAGAACAATAAACAAGAGACAGCACAAATGTCACGATACAAATGGGAGACAAGTGATAGATTAGACCCTGAATCGTGGCAATTCATCGAATCGCAAAGAAGTGTGAATTGTTAGATGCCCGCCAGGTCCCATTGTGCACTCAAGGCAACAAAAGCACCTATGGAAATAGGATTCTTTGTTTACACATCTTCCTTGACTTTTTAAACATCAACAGGCAAAAGAACGCAAATGTAATATTACACCAACACTAAAACAGTAATAACATCTAACATGTTTCTAAATGTAGTCAGAAGTAAAACAAAGACCTCGAAAAAGTCTAAGAAGGGGTTAGAAGGTTCTTCATCACTTGTGGGATAACGCTGCATGCACACGCACACATTTACAAGCACTGAACAATTATTTTAAAAATTACAACTCAGACGCAACAGTTGGTAGTTAGCATAATAAATTAACCTTATGGCGGGACGCCAGGGTCCCATAAGCCCCCGGCTCTCGCATAAACTGCGTTGCGACGTCATTTTATGTCTGTTGAAGGCGAACAGTACGGCAGTCTATTCCTCTCGACGAACTCTACGCGATGCGCTAATCAAAGTCTAAACGTTTTGTTTATGACTACGGCAATTTTGGCAATAACGGGTGCTTGGTGAAGAACGAGAGGATTTGATTTCTGGTGGGTCGTGGCTTTTATGTGCTCGTTGGGACGGAGTCGCCAAACATTTTTTTTATATTAATTACGATTTTGACTTCCGTTTATTCGGGACGCCGGGGTCCCGACATAAGGTTAACTTATCACCGAGTATAAGTAATACCCCATTAGGCATGATAATGTCCCTAATTAATCGATAACTGCAGCATACGAGTTTTGAAAATTGACCCTAGGTGTGCAATAAAATGTAATTGCAAACAGCTTTTACAACAGAATGGATATCCAATATTGAATTAAATTCCTTTATTATACCAGGTAAAAGGCCATAAAGATCAGAAGTCAAATTTTCCAAAGGATTCCTGGAAGAAATTAATACACTATAATACCAAAGTTTATCATGGAATCATTTCAAATTCAGAACTGAATATGATGTGCATCTAACAAACTTGTAAGAAGGATGCACTATATTAAATTAAAGTACAGTTCACATTTCTATAGAGATAAGCGATGAATATCAATTTCAAGATGTTTTTGTTTAATTATGCGAAACCGCAAGAATAATTTTTTTAGTTGTATTTGTATATATTTTTTTATTATTAGTTTACCTTTCCTATACTTTGCACTCCTATCGTGTATTTGTATTGTTGTTTTACGTTCTGACACGCCCCTCCTGGACACCTGTAAAAAAGAGAGCTGTATAGCTCACCGATTCCTAAAGTATAGAAAATATTATAATTCAGATATGCAAGAGTTAACGTGTTGCATTCGTATACCAGTAGGGGGAAATGATTGCTACGTATCTCAATTGAGTCATTTGCGGTGTTACTTTTATAATTTGGCCAAATTTGGACCCTCACGGCAGCACACAATGGCCTAACTCTTGCGAATGAACTGTGCGAGATCTTTAATGCATTACGGTGATTACACCCGCGGTCGTAATCAGGGTGGCCCTTGGAATCGAACCGTGAACCTCTGCAACACAGCGGCGAATATTAACTACCGATTCCCTTAAGAGGTTTATGGGAAAACTTTAAGAGCTCGACTCTTCTTCATCTAACACATTCACGCAGAATGCTTTCGAAAAAAATATAACTCCATATTAATGCTAGACATCTTGTTACATAATGTACGATGGAAATTCTCTATGACGAAAAATGCATAGGTTATTAACTGCGTAAACAAACCAAAAACCAACCAAAATCAGGCTTATTTTATTTTATGCGAAAATCACACAGTCTAATTAAGAACCGGCATTGTACAACCCACTCACATTGTCCCACATCCATCATCATTAGTAATGATCTACACACTGCTGAATGAAGACCTCCCCACACCACCATCGTCTTAAACAGAAATGTGATGTAACAATGCACCCAGCTTATTGCTCCATCTCCACAGAATACATGTTGGGGTGTGTTTCCCCATTTGGCTGCTGCTACATCGTTAGCCTCAACCACCGGATATCATCCCTTCTATGTCTGGCACAGGCCCACTTACATTTGTTTAAGTCACTACGTCTCCGACTTACATATCTTCTCTAATCCACGTGTTGCTTTTTTCGCCTCTCGGTTTAATTTCAGCATGAACTTCTCCATGCTTTTCTTGCGTGGACTTTTTTAACTCGCGCAAATATACACACACACACAGACTTCAGGTGATTTTTTTTTTAGTTGAGACGCCCCATGCAGTCTTGCAGGCCTTAAGTCCAATCTCACACACAGCTATTCAACATGCTACCCAAATTCTTCAATGCTACCCAAAAGAGCACCGTCACATTTTGAATGTAACATTTCTAATTCCTGCACATTTATGGCGATAATTATCAAATGAGTCACACTGTGCATTACACCATAGATGCAGAAGCTAATATTTACTCACAACACTTAACTATGCAAATAAAAGCAATTACAGCACTGTAAAATAAACAGCTGCACTTAATATATAGACTCAAATGAAAATTAGGTTTATGTTGAGTTTGTGGTGGAGTAGTGGCACAGTGGTTCACGCAACTTCGCTATGAACCTGGCAACCTGAGCCATGTCTAACATCAGTGGCTGCTCCATCGTTAGCCTTGTTATATATCAATAAATCCTGGGGCTCCCTTCATTCAGCAGTGCATTGACATTGAATCATTATTTTACTCAATGTTGAATTCATTTTAGTGGCATGTGAATGGATAAATGACAATGTTCATACCTTATGTAAAAAAAAAATCACTTTTTTTTATTTCAGCAAAAAGGCAGTGGCCTTCTACAGCAACAAAGCCACAAGTGCGCCTACGAACACATCACTTAACCGCTTGTGTCAATGTAATAAACAGCGAGCTGTATGCCAAGTTGGAAGACGAGCAATGCACACACAACTCACAGGTAAAGGTGACACGGTGAGAACAGTATATTTTGTCGAATGACTTTACCCGTGCGGGTTACTCACACAAATGCCTTCTGCCGGCGGTTTCCTTCACGGAACAATTTGAATAATTTTATACTCGCAGTTGTCGTGGTTTGTTTTAAAATATTCTCACGGTTAAAAGATGTGCGTGAAAACAATTACAATTTCTCACGTACGACTAATTACCTGTCTGCTACATCGCAGACAATTTGAGAGAAATCTGTTCAAGCATCTGTTCAACGTGTTGACTCGTTAAGTCATTTGCGGTGAAAGCAATCCTTTCTGATCCAAATGCTTCCTCGCACAATTGATCTGGATTACGTTGTGAAGTGCATACGTTATTCCTCGCACAATTGATCTGGATTACGTTGTGAAGTGCATACGTTATTCCTCAACAACTTTCAAGACAATGGTTGACTTGAACTGATGCGGATCACATTTGCGTATCACAGGTGAGGGCATTAGATCAAATTCTGAATCTGCTTTTTTAAGACTATTATACAGTGGTACTGACGCTGAACATGAGCTCAATTTACTTCTCAATGGAAAATACCGTTCCCTCGACTCCATTATGTACCGTGGTTTGTTTTGTTTTTAGTGAGGAATAATGATACTGGAAAATGAAATAATATAGTTGCAGACCAGGAATTAATCTTGGGCCTCTACGGCAAAGCGATACACAATGTGTGCAGTAATTTGCCTAGTGATACAATATTATCATTGTTGGTTTAACTCCCTGCGAATGGTCAAAGATATTTGCAGTTAAAGAGGGTCGGCTCAACTCCGCTTCGTCGATGATTCAAAAATAATTATCAAAATATCACATATAATAATACAGTATATATAATGTACAAGCCTATGCATTGGGGCATTATTTCAAGATCAACAAAGTGTCCCACGCATGTTACCGCACCGCTAAATAACCTTTAGAATCAGGCCTGTAGCGGAACATCGCAAGAGGTATTAGCAGCACGCAAGGGAAAGGTGTCAATCATGTAGGCAGACGTGAATGCAAACATCTCCTGCGGTGAGGATTGCAAGCACCTGGTGTACGTCGTGCCTGCACGCGTATTTATGTACATACTCATGTGTTTATGCGGGTATATAAGCGTGTATATTTGTACACATGAGTACGTGTGTGTGCAGATGTGTATGTGCCGATGTGTATGTGCCGATGTGTATGTGCCGATGTGTGTGTGTGTGCGGGAGCAGGAGTGAAGTGGTTAACGAGCTGCGCTACGAACCCGGCGACCCGAGTTCAATTTCCGCTCACGGCCAACACCGGTGACGATTATCTGAACCGGTCCTGGGCCTCCCCTAGGTCGACTCAGCCTTAAAATTAGTACCTGGTGCGGGGCGTAGTAAACATCGCCACTGGGGAGACAAAGGCGGTCGGGCGTGGTGCTGGCCACCCACCCTCTCGCCTCGTGTATCGTGCCGGCCTTCATAGGTGCTCGCTAACAGCACTTGCCCCAAAAATCCGTTACAGGCTATACGGGGGATCTTTGTCTTTGTATGTGTGTGCGTGCAGATGTGTGTGTGTGTGCGTGCAGATGTGTGTGTGCGTGCAGATGTGTGTGTGTACGTATGTGTGTGTGTACGTGCAGATGTGTGTGTGTACGTGTGTGTGTACGTGTGTGTGTACGTATGTGTGTGTGTGCGTGCAGATGTGTGTACGTGTGTGTGTACGTATGTGTGTGTGTGCGTTCAGATGTGTGTGTGTGTACGTGCAGATGTGTGTGTGTATGTGTGCGTGCAGATGTTGTGTCCCCCCCCCCCCTTGTGTGCGCATGCGTATGTGTTGCAGATTTGTGTATGCGTGTGTACGTGTGTACGTGTGTGCAGATGCGTTTGTGTATGCGTGTACGTGTGGTTACGTATGTGCATACGTGCACGCATATGTGAGTGCATGCATACGCGCGTGTGAGGTGCAATACAAATGACAGCATTGCATAACTATAATGATACAAACATGTCAAGGAAAGGGCACGTATCATTGTTAACCGTTGCAATCGCATTGGTAGTTATAAACAAAAACAGGAGCAACCATAAGATTGCCTCGCATAAACAAAAGCCCATAGAGCAGCGTCTGACAATCGCGTCTCATGAGGCAGCCGCAACGCTGTCTTTAAAAAAAAAACAACACCCCAGACCAACACGTTTCGCTTGCAAACGTTTTAAAAATAACAACAAAAACAACACACAGCGACACGATTTACGCATTTACGCGTGAGCACAGCGAGCCTCAACCACCCCCCCCCCCCCCGTCGAAGACCGACTAGGCCGCACTGAAGCCTACGGTCTCGCTTGAACGCTCAGCGGGGTCGAGTAAGACGAGGGACGGGGGGGCCCGAGGGAGCCCGCGGGGGGAGTGGTGGTGGTGATGGTGGTAGGTGGTCACCTTGTACTGCGACCCGGCGTCGGGAGCCCTCGGAAGGGCACCCGCCGGTTCGGGTCATCGTTACCGTGGGGTGTTTATCGTATGCGCAGAGTGCGGTCGGGCCTCACCTCCTCGGTGATCTGCGAGTCCTGCAGACCGCCGTTCCCGTTCACTCCAGCTTGCGGTATGACTGTAGCCATTTTTTCGCCTCCAGCCCCCTTGGTCACGTGGGTCTTGGTGGAGCGAAGTGGAGGAGAGTGGCGGGGCGGGGAGGGGGGGCAGTGGACCACGAGCTTCTGTTTGTGGGAAGGAGAAAATGTGGGGAGGAGCGGGGGTGGTGGTGGCGCGCGCGCGTGCGTGCGCTGAATGGACCTAAACGCCAGCCAGCCGCCGGGAATCTTTGCAGACAGAGGTGATGATGGGCGCATGTCAATAGGCGTTGCGTTGCGGAGGCTTGGACGTTGAAAAGGCATACAGGTGTTGTTGATTACAAAGAGTCGACGAGATTTGGGTCTTCTTCACGTGGGCGTCGTGCAAACGCGATATCGACGTTAATGCAACGGCCAATCGATTTTTAACGCTCACGACCCCGAGCGTGAATTTGAAGGGATAACAAATGATTGTTCCGCGTTGCGTTGAAAGTCAGCAAAGTGGGACGTCGCTAATAAAAAAAACAAATCAGGTTAATTTGTCGAACAATAACGGAGACGGTTCTTAACGAGATGCTAAAAACAACACAAATCGATCGATCCGTGGAGCACGATTGCAACGCGAACCGTTGCACTTAGTCGAATCGCGGGGGTCAAATGCATCGTTTGCGTGGTGACTGTTCAATACTAGCCGTGCACTAATGCATCGGTTCATGGATTGGCTTGGAATCTTACACTCACAAAGCACGCATTGTGCGACAACCGATTGATAACGTATGCAAATTTTATGTTTAAAAAAATACGCAATTTGTAGAAGGCTAAACGACCAAAGATTATTGAATGGGATCGCGTACCCTTACAGTTGAAGACAATTCGGCTAATCGCTTGGGTTGGTGGAAGGCTGGAATGTTTCGTTTAGCGTATTTGGCTGCGACTATATATTTCCACATGATAAGCCACACTTCTTCGTGGAACTATCATTTGTAATGGCTTCTGAAAAATAGCTAAATAGAGCAGTGGGCTTTACCTGGTAAAATAATACGTTTGAGTTTCCTTTACGATCAATTATCCATTCACCTCTGCTGGTAGGTCCAAGTCTGCAACTCCCCTTCCCCCTAGCCGTCCATGCTGTCGACTTCCTGCTAATGGTTCGGGCTACTTTCTCCCCTCTGCATGACCGACTGCCTCGCTCGACAAAATAATTGTCCACCGCTTCTGTTGAGTCTTGAGATGAGGTCACGGTTGCCCATGTTGTTGGTCTACATCGGACACGTGCAGTCACTGTTCGTGTTTTCACCCAGTGGTCCAGCTTCACTCAAGTTGCTGCTGGTGCCAATGACCCCAGCAGGGAGGTCACCAGATGGCTCAAGACCCTGCCCGAGTTTGAATTCTGGCAGCCGCCCGCGATGAAACCCGGATTCTCAAGTGCAGTTCGCTGGGTCTCTGGGGCCAGTCGCCAATGACTGCAAATAAATATCGCGTTTCATTTGGTGTTGAGCTTGGTCCGGCTCAATTTGTTGCTCCGAGAATGATAAATATTTTGACAAAGAACACGTGGCCCCATACTGTTTAAGCCAAGAGGTCACTTAAAAGAAGTAGCTCTCTTGGTATCTGCTTTCGTGTGACATTTACATAAAGGGAAGCACTGTTGCGAGGAATCCAAAATGATAACTTCGTATCATGACTTAACAGCAATAGCGGTACAATGGGGTTAGACAACATGAACATTATTTACCCCAGAATGATGGCGTGTTGTTGGAAGGGATCCTGAGCACGATTTTAAAACTAAAACTCTTTGAAGAGTGCTCTGTTGTTCCACTAAACCAATCTGTATCCTGGGTAAAGATAATTTTAAAACACACAATGATTAAACAGTGCTTGGCTCCATTGGTGGTCTCCGAGTTTAGTGGTGTAACCTGTCATTTAACCAAAAGCTTTGCGCAGGAGACGGGGCGTTCCGTCTGCTGCGGAACTACAGCCTCATCATGATACTCGAATAAGGTTCTGGATGGGGAAGGGGCCCAGCCACAAGTCCACAAGGGAAAGCAAACCCGTATCAATGTTTGGATGGATTCTAAGTTTTAATATTAAAAACAACACCGCACACACAGCATTTTGTAATTTCAGGCATCATCATACCTAACCATGCAAGAGAAATGTGAAAACTGGGAATGGGGCAAGAGGCAATGACTGTATGGCACCGATAATTCCGAATAAGGGATAACACCGTTATGCTGCATTCCTTATGTCATTGCCCTGCTGCTGTCAAATAATGTGCACAAATTTGGGAAGTCCAAAACAGGACTTGGTACATTACACATGCAGTACGGTGAGGCCGCGTGACACACAATGCACGATGATTGTAAGGACTTTCATTTATCAGGCACTTAAATACCCCTGAATTTCAGAGAACCTTGTATCAACATATCAAAATGACAATGGCAATTGTTTAATTTTATCCGAGGTGATCCTCTGCCACGCAACAATGCATCGGAGCAATCTTGGGTCATAAATGTGCCTTTTGTGTAGCTCTTGTCGAATGCAAATAATACTAAGACAGTCTGTTCTCCAATGTCGCATGTTTTCATAACACGAATTGAATATAACACAATGTATTAGGGATTTTTTTTGTTCATATCACAGATGCAAAATGTATATAACGCGATTGAATGAAAATTTAACGTCGTGCGAGTAGGCATAATCGGTTGTACGGCTGCCTTTGAGCAGCATCACAAGGCACCTCAATCTTTGGTCAGCCTGCATATGCATCTGGTGAGTTATCGCCGACTGCTTTACCCCGTTTTCTATCATTTATTATAACGCGATTTTTCCATAACATGGTGTTCTTCAGGAGCGCAACTACCGCGTAATAGAACAGACTGTTCTTGCAATGTGCCCTGTCCCCGATTGCGACTGTTGCACACCTCTTACCACGCATAAAACAGAAACAAAGGCCACTTGTTATTTACCTTTATTTACACGTTCACAGCCATTTTTTCCCCGCCACATGCGCACAGAATTCCTGTGGCTTTTATTTACACAACACAGGTGGCTTGTGTCTTTAAAATAAAATCAACAAGTAAATTCATACACCAGTTCGCTAAGCTACAGCTTATAAATGGGGGCAAAAAAAAACCTGCACAATGCATCTCCATTTGCAGCACTGAAACACACTTCTTCAAACATGGTTAAACATTAAAGCACTCAAGTGTGTGGTTTATAAAAGTCTGTTATTTCAGGCTACCTCTCCATTTTACTTAGTCCTGATATTGCACTTGCTTGGCTAAACATACTTGAGACTACCTTTAAAGACTTGGCAACTTATCAGTCCAGTGACAGTGAAATGATTAGCTTTGAAACTCATCTTACAGTATGGTAAAAATAGGGCTGTTAAGACAACACTGATAAGAACAACTTTAATTAATTTATATTATTCCGCTCATTTACACGGGAAACGTCACCCAGTCTCAATTCTTTCTCAGGAGGGTCCTGCCAAGTTTTCGCGGTAGACGCCAATGACTGCGATTTATATAATACAATGGCCGACTCTTACAATCAACGATACGGGGATCTTTAACGTAAACTTGGAAAACGGCAAGTATTTCTACGGTTGATACACCCGTACTTTTAATCAGGGTGGCCTCCTGGATTCTAACCGTGACCCCTTTTGCAACACAAATGGCGAACGTGCTAGCGCTACGCCGTGTCTCCCGCCCCCCCCCCCCCCACAAATTTGGATTGACGCACATCGGATCGGTCAAACGCTGATGTGCACATGGTTGGCAGCATCGCTATGATGTTCCTATTAGTCTTGCGAACACTGCTGCGTCAGCAACCCTGTTGAAATGTGATATGCACCAGCCCCCCCCACGCACGCACGCACACACACACACACACGCGTGGACGCACAACGGCTATTTCTCACGTAGGACACAGACGCCAGCGTCACAACGCTGGGTCCCCATGGAGGACACCACCTCCCAGGTGTCGATGATCGGGTCGTAGCACTCGATGCTGCTTAGCAGCGAGTTTCCATCGTAACTGCCGTGAAAAGTGGAAAGAGGTGACAGCAACGTCTGGGTTTACAAATGAAAAATGCAAATGCATACAAATTCATGTAGATCTTTTTTTTTAATGGCAATGCAATTTGAAATGGTCATTGATGTAGGGCACACACATTTATATCGTAAATATTTGGAAGAGCCCATTGTGATTATTTTCCCACAATATTTTGAAACCAAAGTTCCATAGGGAGAGTTACTTTTATTTTTATTTGTGGGTATTTTTTTGGACATTACATATACATGTCAATCCAATGCTGGATGAGGGTATCCCTGGGCCATGTGAGTCATGGGGATTATGTGACCATACTTCACTAAACTGGTCGGTGTAGGTTGATGAGGAAGCAGGGTGGGGGTGGGTAGGGACAGAACTAGTTCAGATGTCACTCCCCACTTATGCCAACCGTGGCCAAGCTGAGGTTGCCAGGTTGAGGGCACAGTACACTAACCACTCTAGTGACCGGTCAAAATAAAAGATTACTTGCTCTCGCCAAAGCTGGCGGAAGGACACCCACTAGCGGAGGGGGGGCGGGTGTCAAGAGCCCTCCTCGAGAAGGTATTTTTTGGCCTACTCTTCCACAATGGGCAGACATTTTACAAAGAAGTGGGCACACCCCACTCTTTGCGCCACCACACGCGGACATGCTGATCGACTCAGTGCCGCGTACCCATTTACACTGCGCATTGTGTTCAACTGTCGTGCCGCGAGATCGATTCGGGGACCTCTGGATACGCGCTAACAATTTCAGCACGGCAGCATCCACCGGTCCAATTTTGCACAATTCATACACGGATAATTATTTTTTCGCAGCCCGCTTTAGTGAAGCAATTTCCAAAAACGCAAAAAGGTTGGTGTCGTGAGCAGGGCGCGTCATCACCCGGCGATGGCGTAAAGGCGTCCTCGCAGCACGGCAGCGCCCACGTAGCAGCGCGGCGTGGTCATGCTCGTGATGCTGCTCCACGTGTCCGTGCGGATGTTGTACGACTCGACGGAGGCGAGGTGCGCGGCGCCGTCAAACCCCCCCACCACGTACACGTGGTCGTTTAGCAGTGCCACGCCAGCGCCTG